GAGCCTCCTCTTCTCCAGACTAAACAATCCCAGCTCCCTCAGCTGCTCCTCATAAGCCTTGTGCTCCAGACAGCAACTGATCCCCGCAGCCTGAAGGAGCCCAAGGACGGCCCTTCCCACACAGATTCCAACTGAGCCCCACATCTGAATAGAGACAAACAGCCGCTGTGACCCCGCTGTAATGCCACAGCTCCGCGCTGCCACGCACTGCAAAGCCTTCCTCAGGTTCTCATTCCCACAGAGAACATTTCATAGAACCACAGAACCGTTAAGGCTGGGAAAAGGCCTCTGAGATCACCACGTCCAATTAAGTGCCAACCTGTCCCCATCGTGCCCACCACACCTGGAAGCTGCAAACGCAACCTACACAGAGATGCAGGCACAGCTCTCAGCACCGTCCTGCAGTGAAACAACGCCAGCTGTGGGGCTGCAGCAGGAGGGGTTCCCCATCCCGGGGTTATTGCCTGCACTGCAGAGCATTGCAGAGGGCAGAGGTGGCCCCGTGGGGCTCGAGGCGCTGGGAGCAGCACGTGTTGGTGCTGGACGTGCAGACAGCCAAGTGCTGCTGCTGAGCTCTTTGGCTGGAAGTGCTGCAGTGCTTTGGTCCAAGTCATTTGACTTTCATGAGTCATAGAATATTACACAAAAACATCCTGCAAGGAGGGAACGGAGGATGAATTCCAGACACTGACCTTAGACAACAAACAAAACCCACTTTTTCCTCTCATCTTAGCATAGAGGAGGAGGGGAGCTTTTCCTCCGTGAGCAGGACACAGGCTGGGGATTAGGGTGAGACTCGGCCTCAGCAAGCCATCTGCCAACAGCGCCTTTTATAAGAGGCAAGGCACTTCATATGGGTTTACCTCAGAGAGCAGCCAGAGGCCCTTTTGGACCCAGAGGCTCCATCCCTCCGCTTGGCCTCAGAAGCTTCCTCCTCGGCTCCTGTCCCCTGGCCGTGCCATGAATGTCGGCGTTCAGCTCTCCGTGAGCACTCTGCCTGCTGCCCGAATAAAAGAGCAGTTGCTTCTCATCTCTGCCCAGACACTGAGGTTTCTTTCAGAGTTAGAAAGCAGGAAATCAGGTCACAGTGAGGCCAGGCTGAGCACTGCCTCCTCCGATTGCCTCCACTGAACCAGTGACATTCATCAGAGGTGACTCCCCAGGCTGGGAGCTATCTGCTTAGACACTGTGCAGCCCACAGCCCACCCCACCTCACCAGCACAGCATCAGGTGTTGAGATTTCTGAAGGATTTTTAGAAGTGCTTAAGGAGCAGCAAAAAAGCGCAGCCTTCACACTTGGGCAGCTTGTCTTGTCTTGAGGCACTGGGATACCTCGATCTCTTGAAAAAACAGCCAGTGCTTCAACCTCTTGGAAATGACAGCAGAAATCCTGCTAATGTTAAAAGCAAGGCTCTGTCAACATAATGCAGTGACTGTGTTCAGCACTGACCTTTCAAGCCCAAATCCCACACTGTTTGGCTCCGCAAAATGCTGGGTTTTGGACAGTCTTTCAGACAGAAGAGCTGTAAAGAGTACAGCTCCAAGGAGGAGGTTTCTTTCCTACCAGGCATCCTGCTCACTTCATTCAGGGTTAGGGAGGAATTCCTGAAGAGCGTGGCAGGACTCACCCTGCTGCAAGCTGAGCAGTGAGAGCAGCATCTCAGATGCTGAGTTGAGTGCCATTAACCCACTGCTCCCTGGAGGCTTCCCTTGTTTTCTCTGGAATGATCCCATTTCCCTTCGCCTCCCCCAACCTGGTGCTTCCAGCTCGCAATCTCTTATCTTTTCTGAAGTGGAAAGTAAATCAGGGCTCAATGTCAGGCTGTCTCATCCTGAAGACTGATGTTCAAATAAAGGCTTTTCCATCCTAACTTAATACAGCCACTAGAAATTTATCACCCCGTGGCATCTGCTGGGGAAGAGCTCAAGTGGGAAAGGCCCTAAATAAACACAGAATGATGGAAAACTGTGAAACTGGTCCAAACGGGCTTGTTAATTTTCTACTATCAAAGGATAAAACAGTTCTATCTGTGACTGCAGGTACCCTTTGCAGGGTAAGAAGGAAAGCAGAATGAAGGGTGTGATTTAGTGCAGCACCATTAGCAGCACACAGGGAGGAAAGGATGGATCGCTGCACAATAGGCAGCATGGGAAACAGCTACAAAAACTCAGACAGCTCTGGCTGCTGTCCTCAGAAACTGTGCTCACAAATCTGGTCAGCTGCCCTCCCCTTATGGGACGAATGTGGGTGGCAGTGGCCTTCTGGGAGTGCCATCTGCTTACAAAGCCACAGAGCTCCTGTTCTACCCTTCCCAAGGGCCGAGGTGCAGCCTGTCCTCAACCACCCGCTGCTCAGCACCAGCTCTGGTCCATGCCCTGCCACAGCCCCCAAGGAAGAGGGTCTGCAAAGTTCTGAACTCATCTGCTGGACAGGACTTACTGCCACAGGATCACCAGAGCACCGCTGGCTGCGTCACGTCATGGAGCCCAGAGCCCAGGTTCTGTACCCAGCGCCTCTGCAGCCTGAAGGCAGTCACTCTGAGTCCTGAAGGCAGAACAAAAAGCCAGGCATTAAGGAACAAACTGAAACCTTTGATGGCACGAGACAAAACGTAAGCAGTGATAGAAGGGTAAGGGCACAACTCCTTCCCTAATGGCCCTCCAGGACACCTACCTTTAACTTTTCTTCCAGAAAGAGCTGCATAGATTCAGCTGTGATGCTTCGCATGATACTACGCTCCTCCAGTTCAATTACACGCTTCAGAAGCGACTGCTCCCAGATAAGGACAAAGCCCACAAGAAACACACAACAACCCTGTGTTCAAATCTGAATACATTCGTATTATTTATTGGCTGTATTAAATATATTATCTATTTGATAGTTACAATTTAGTAATACAATGCATGGCAGCTTTAACATAGAGATACCTCGAAATTACAATACAGAAGAAATGAAGATACCTAACACATTAATGCCATTAGGGTGTATCGTTCTGGAATGGATAAGAGCTGATGTCCATCTGCACTGCGGGAGGCTCTCCGGTACATCTGCAAACATTGAGTACTTTGTGGCAATTACAGAAGAACTTTTACTTTTTTTTTTAGGAGCTGTCCCTTGTTAGTATTTACTTTGCAATCCTAATTTACCTTTTAAAATCATCAGAAATAGTATTGTGAATTAACCTCTACAAACTTCGTTCTAAGAGTTAAAAGAAATAACCCTTTGGCAACAGAGATTTGCTGAAGGCGGTCGTATTTGCTAAAAGTAGACTATAAAGAGGAACAGAGACAGACTGTAAACTCTTCTGCAAACTAAAGACACTAAGATCTGTATAAAACTCTTTCCAAAAGTGGAGGGAGAGATTTCTATGATATAATAAATGATTAACTTAAAGTTCTGCTACAAGTAGAACAATACATTCAAACATACATTTTTCCAGGACTTTTAATCAAAATAAATAGAGTACAAAATGAAGAGTACATTTTGAAAAGATTAATTTCAGATTGCACCATAAATCTACTTTTACGAGTATTAAGCGATACTATGTCATAATTTAGGTTCTCCACATCTGAAATACAACACAATGCCTCGAACTACAACGCAACATTATTCATCAACTGCCATAGGAGAAAGACCCTTAAAGTGATTAATTACTGGCAATCCCTAGCCTGCAGCACTAGCACATCCAGCACTCCACGTACAAGTGCCTCGTTCTGGTGGGTATAGTGTGATAACCCTCACTCGAGCTTTCTATGCCACGCTCCCATGCTGTTAGGAAGACCCATTCTAAACGCTTTCTAAACTTGCGAGCTCCAGCTTTCAAAGCCTTTGGCACGGAGAAGACAGCTGTCAGATTCACCTGTAGGTATTCGCAAGCAGAAGTAACGAGAAGGGCAGATGTAGTGCACAGCGCCCACCCAAAATCCCCCCTGACAAACAGGACACGTCTCAGAGAAGCTCATAGCAGGCTGAACATTCCCATCTAGGAAACAACGGAATGTGAAGCTGCTACCACCGGGATAGCAGGTCGGTTAAAACATTGTACAAATGTTAGCTAAAAAGAGTTCTTTCACGTACAATTTGATCATTCGGGTTACGTAAGAAGGGCATCCAAAAGCAGTCTGAAGTTTTATTTTTTAGGTTAATAATAGTACAAAAAACATTTGCTCAGTTTGAGCCAAATAGTGTAACATTTATCATAAATGCACTCTTTCTCCTTAAAGACAATACCTGTGCTTTTCTGGAAACGCTGCAAAGATTTCATCCAAAGCACAGGAAATTACTTTTCTCTCAGGCACTGAGAGTGAAATGTGGATTGGGCCAACAGCTGCTCACCACCAGCAGGAAGCACTGCGTTCACAGGTGTGCAATGCAAAGGGGCCTTTCCTGCACTGCCATATCCGAACGCGGCTGCTGCATGGACATGGCATCCTGCTAACATTGTGTCTAAGCATCTCGATTCAAACCCTACAAATGCTGGCACCCGCTACTTTAAACGCTCGAAATGATTATTACTGAATCCAAAATTAAAATAACTGTAAAGTAGTAATATCACTAAGTCAAAGTCAATATTCTGCTTTCCTTCTACAGTATATTAAATGTGGTATGCTCGAGTAATGTTCTGCAATACAGTACTGCTCTAAGCTTAAGCATTTGTGCTGCTGTATGTCACGTATACCGAACTGCGACGATGCCTGGTTACACACTGCTGATGGGCTACCACTGCTCTAGCTGTACTTGGAAAGGACTTGCTCTAATAACGCCGTCCCTCTCTGACTGCCCAAGGGGCCTCGTGTGAATTCAGAGAGAGCAGAGCGTGCACACACACACACCAGTGTGCACAATAAGGCAGTTTGTGCTGTTTTCTTAACAGCTAACCCTGATTATAGAGGACAAAGGATTACCCTTTCTACAAGAAATCTGTGTTCAGTATTTGGAAAGGATCTGCCGACCCAGCCTCGCTGTCAGCCAGCAGCAGGGCGGAAATGCGCATATCCACACATTACCAGCTAGGATTTCAATTAGAACTAACCATAAATACCCGAAATAGCTTCTGTACAAAAAGCTGAGCACTGAGTAGGTTCTTGTCTACTTGATCACAAAGTATTGAATAACGACAGCAAATAAAATAGCAACCACTGCGAACCCGCAGAGAAGAACGATGGCGATGAAGCGCTCCTCATGCAACGTCTTCTTACTGTCTGCCAGCTCCGTGGGCACGGCGGCACACTGCGACTCCAGCTCCTGCTTCTGAGATGAGAACACTGCACTGGGGCTGTAAGGTCCATACAGTTCTTGGGATCCAGCAGCGTCCTGGGACTGACGGCCAGCGCAGACTCTGATCCGGTATTCACAGTTTGTCTGCAGGCCCGTGAGACGGAAGGAAGTCTCTGGTCCCTTGTATACCTGGTCAGCACAAGAAGAAAGAGAACCACTCTAAACAGGATTTGTCTTACAAACTGCCTTTGCAGCCATTTGCTCTGACAGTACAAGCAAAGTGTCAACACAGATCTGAAACACTGTGTTTGCTTAACAGATTATTTCCACATAAGTGCTTCTACTTGAAAGGAAGAGCAGAAGCAGCAGGAATTTGCCTGCTGACAAAAACAACAAGCAGAAGAAAACATACAGTTGTGCAATCTGTGTTAGGCTTGAGAACAGCACTCCAAAAAGCCTGCCCACCCTTCCCTGCCAGGACATACATCTGCAGTGATGCTGCTTCCATGCAGTGTGACTAACAGCAAACAACTGGTATGAAACATTCAAACTAGTACTGCTACTTGGAGAGCTACTGCTCTCACGTGAGCTGAGCAAAGGAGGATGTGCTTTGGAATAACTTAAGAATTTAAAACGTTATCAGATTTGTAAAAAAAAACCCCGAACAATTCAAGAGGAAAATGTTGGCAATCCTTTTTATAGGTAAAAAGCCTTGAGTTCATTTTGTGAAACAGAAAGTACCTGATCAAACTCTCTCCCAGCAGCAAGCTGGAGGATGTAAACAATGGAATCTCCTTTCATCGGCTGTAAAGGTTCCCATGTGATTTCATAAGTGTTTTCTTCCAGCTGATTTGCTTTGGGTGCTAGAATAGAAGCAATTTGTTGGTACATTAGAAAATCGTCTGTAAGGAACCGGAAGGAATTGGAAGGAAGAAGCCAAAATCACCAGTGACAGTCATTCATATTCACAGTTTCCTTGCTTACAATAATCCCTTAGTTTGCACATGTTCCATTTTACTGGGAAAGTGGGTTTTTAGCATCCACCCTACCACATACATGCTCACTGAGATCTCTAACGCTCACCTTTAAGAGATGCAGGGGGAGACTTGGTTGTAGTGAAAGCGTAAACGTCAGAAAACTCTCCCTCTCCAGCATCATTGTATGCCTGGATTTTGAAATAGTACGTGGTGGATTCACTGAGCCGCTGTACTTTGTATGTATGACATGGACCACTATAAACTGTAACAAACCTGGAAGAAAAAACAGACAAGTCAGAAGTATTCAGGGATCACTAATTGGTATGTGTGACGTTAGCACAACAATGCTGACAATGCATTCCTTGTGCCCCAGCATCACACACACATGTGCTGTGCACAGCAGGCAGCTCAGCACTGCTATTGTGACCAGTGGTTCCTTATGTGCACTCCTCAGCAGCACGCACCATCCATGCTGCTTCCAGACTTCATTTATATTCCCCAGACAGTCATTAAACTGGCAGGGCACTGAGCTACAGCACCCCACAGAAAATACACGGCCAAACTCTGGGTTTCAATGAAGAGAACCACCCCTGTGTATGCTAGGTTTGTTTGTAACTGCAAGTCAAGAACAGCTGTGTGCCTGTATGCAAACTGGACTTCATTTCAGGATTTTCAAGAAATACAAAAACTGACAAGGCTGTCAGACAGTAACGTGTTATTATCTGAGCAGTAAATAGGATTTACTTTTTACAAGTACATACAAGCACAGCAGCACTTCTATAGTTGAAAGATGGGATGCCAAAATTCAAAGAAAGCAGGAACATTTGGGAGGTCCAAGCAACTCACTGGTGCAAACATAGGTGAGAATAGTTAAAAGGTCTTAAAAAACCTGACACAAAGTTTTAATGCGTCAAGAATATCCTCAGTGTTCCACTTATCTTACCTGCCAAACCTGTCCTCCATCTGCAAGTTGAACTGTGTAGGGTTGGTAATTAAAGCTCTGCTAGGACCTTCACCCCATTTAAGTTTAAGGCTCTGGTAGCTGAAGACCACACATTCAAGGTGAGGAGGGTCAGGAGGTAGTGGTTTCGTTTTGGCTTTAATGGAATGACTGAAAGGACCAACTCCAAAGCTGTTTATGGCCTGTATTCTCACCCTAGAAACATGAGAAGAGCTATATGGTTATTATCGGGCCCTGAAAAATGCTACGTACTCGGAGTTAACATCTGTAAAGAATATAACTACGAACAATAAAGGAATTAAAATGCAGTTAAAAGTTAAAAATAATCTATTTTCAAAACAAGTGAAAATAATTGTAATTTCAACCTAATAACATTTCAGCATTTCTCAGCATTGTTCAGGTTTACACTGTGAACCAGCACCCAGCTTCTCCAAGGCGATGATCAGCCAAGAGAGGGGCTCTACCCCTCTGCACACACAGACTCTCTTTTGGTGAAGTACCAATCATACCAAATAAGCCATCAGGAATTAAAAGAAGCCAGAATAAAGCCTTGGCTTTGAGAACCAAACGACAGTCTTAGTGCAGCAACCTTCCTGCTAAATGTCAAGGCTTAAAGTCTTGATATGATGATTTGATTTGTTCAGAGTTGCAGAGTGAACCAAGCATATTCTGTAAGCTGAATGACATTACTACAGAGTTTAAAAAAACTGCCCTTACAGCTAGTGAATGAAAGCTGCTACAGATGCAGCTTTAAAAGAAAACTGGTAATTATTACCTGTAGAGAGTATCAGGCAGCAAATTCTCAAGAATGTGGCTTGTATTCCTTCCAACAGTTACAAGCTGCTTTTCCCCATATTCTATATTATATCCAGTGATCTCTGCCCCATGACAACACGGTTCTTCCCATTGAATTGCAAGGCACGTTGATAAAGGAAGAGAAACTTCCATTTGGTCTTCCTCCAGCAGCTGCAGTGCGGACACGGCCGCAGGCACTGATGCAGGGGTTGTCACCACTCCAGTCTCTCCAAACAGCCCAACCCCAGCCATGTTCACAGCCTGGAAGGGACACCATGGATTGTTAACTGAATCCACACTTTTCTACTCAGTACATTTACCATGCTTCCTTCTGCATGCCATCACCAACATGGAAGAGCAAGGGAAACTGCCCAAATACATTGCAAACATGACACCTGGTATTTAATGCAATATCTTATTTTTAGATACATGTAGTTAGGAGGGACTGGGGGGGAAGGAAAGCCTTAATAGATGGCAGTATATAATTGCATTGATCCAGAACTGAAGTTTTTCTTCCACCTGTATCTACCTGCTCATTTGGTTACTAACACAAAAAAAAGGCTTTTCATACCTGTACACGACAGTAATATGTGGTTGCAGGTGTGAGACCCTTTACTTCATAGCTCTGGCAAGGGCCTGTGTAAATGACATGCATTGATCCTTCCACCTGTCCCCACTCCAGTCTGTATTCACTGATTTCTGCACCATTGCACGCAGGACTCTGCAGGTTTCAAGCAACAAATTACATGTTCATCATACAAATATGGTCTCTCACTACACTGAACAAAGACATCAAAACAAGCACTGGGGTTGAAAAGCTGAGCTTGAGAGAACAGTCTGTCTTCTCAGATATGACACTCTGGCACTTTACTACTGCTAGTACAGTGCACCAAATCTACAACAATAACAAATGCCTCTACACAGAGATGTCCAAAATACTGCACCCATACACTTATCACTTCTTCCATTTCCATGCCAGTGTGTATGCTAGCATGATTCTAAGAGCCACACAGTAATTTCTGTCTTACTGAACACCTGTTAGCACCTACCTCCCAGGAAACTGCAACACAAGTTGCATTTTTACAAGTGATTGCAGGTTTGCAGCACTGATCAGGGGGGCCTGGAGCAGTAGAGATTTCTGCTCTGTCCGAGTGAGGACCAAACTGCAAAAAAAAAGTACAACTTCATGAGTATAGAAACAGTCAAGCAAAAACTAACAGGCATGCGAGCTGAAGAAAACAAATGATTTCTAACAATAAGGAAGCAAATAGAAGATTTCCATGCTCATTTTCAGGCACCATTTTCAATTCCTTTCAGGCAGTTTAGAAGCTGGCTCTGTGCCTACATGAACCAAAACCCTCCCACTACGTCCCACTTTGACAGTTGTGCCACTCCTCCTTTCCCCACGGTCAGAATCTCGCTTCCAGAAGCAGCTGGGTGGTGTTTCAGAAAGGTTTTTACACAACTAACATTTACCCTAACCTCATTCAAACCTTGCATTGTTTGAACACACCCTCTCTGCACAATGCTATTCGCACTGCACCAATCCGTAACTGTAAAATACAGGGCAATTTCTTAAGGCACAAACACCAGGTGATTATCTACTGCCAGAAACGTAGGGTTTACTTTTTTTTTTTCTAATATATATATACACACACATGAGAAATTCTGCTCTGCTCATGAAAATCTGACAGAACACAAGCTACAAGTTACCATCAGGCTCTGAACTGGATAGCACCACCACCATCCTGTGTGTAAAACCTGGCCTTGTTAGCAGGGCACTCACCCCAACCCTGTTTGCTGCCCGCAGCCAGAAGCAGTATGCTCTCCCAGGGAGCAGGTTGCTCACAGTGCACTCGGGTGCAGCACCCTGGTACACCTGTCTGCGCTCCTCCTGCTCTGAGTTTGCCATCTCTATAACGTATTCTGTTATGTCAGATCCTCCATCTACAGGTGGTGGGCCTGCAAAATAAAAAGGGATTTTTTTCTATTAATTTCACTAAGCACTTTTTTTTTCTTCTAACTAGTTTCTACTTCTCAAGCCTTCTCATGCTACAAGTCAAGCTAGACGCATGCTAAAAATCAGGGTGCAGGTGTTCACTGCAGCTGAGCAGAACAACATCAAGTTTTTCTTCCCCCCTCAGGAACTGGTATGTTAGCTTAAGATAGCCTTTATCAGGTTCCTTCATAAATGTCCTTCAAAAAACAGTCTATCTTCATCGCTGCTCACTTATCTCCTTTACTGAGATAAAAGTAATAAATAAAAATAAATAAAAGGAGGGTTGATTCTTAAGTTGCCAATAGTAATAATGAATGCATCAGTAACAAGGCAGCCAGAGAGCTCTCCTCAATGAAAGACACTCATTTAACACACTCTATACCATTGCAGACATGCATATCACAGCTGGTTTTTCAAGCTTTTTTTTTTTTAAATAAAAGTATCAACATGGGCAATATTACTTATATTCCTTTGATATTAAAACACTTATTTTATTTAAATAGATATATAAGATTTTTCAGGAGCTTACCCCACTGCAATGTGATCTCCTTGGGCTTCGCCTTGCCTGCCAGGCATGGAGTGGGACAGGGCCCCGGAGGAACAGCCGACGTTGTAACAGTCAGAATATCAGAAGCCTGGCAGTAACACACATCATTTCAGAGCGGAAGCAAACATTGCAGTGAAACAGACCAAAATGGCTTTCCAAAGCAAATTCTTTCTCCTTGCTCTCACCTGGCTCTCCCCACCTCTGCTGACACAATGAACTCTCATTCTGTACGAAGTACCAGGCTTGAGATGATCACACACGTGCTCTCTCTGGGAACCGCTGTAGATGGTGTCCCATTTACTCCCTGCAGCAAAAAAGAAAACATCCTATATACTGCAAAGCTTTTGCAAAAATCAACCTTGACAATTCCTGTACAGTTATTAATGATGAAGATAAAGCACAAGACTCAATTTGAAGGATGAATTAGACAAGGAGCAAAAACACGTGTGAGAAAAGAACAGCAATCGCTGCAGCGACAGTGGTGAATCACAAGTTAGTACACAAGCTCAAACAGTACTTAATGAGAACTGCTTACCAATTACTGCTTCTGAGATCTCCAAAAAGTATTTAACGATGTCTGATCCTCCATTATCTTTGGGTGGCTCTGAAAGAAAACATCACCTTAAAATAACTTACTGAAGATGTAAAGACTGCGTTACGTTGTTATCGACTGTCTTCAGACAACATTTTAATCTGCTGTAGAATTAATTCAAGTAAAAAAGTCAGTTCAGAAAGAAAACTGTGTACATATAGTCACAGTACATTTTACAGAAAAATGTTTTTTTCTGTTTTTAATCATGAGGAAGAGGAGTACTGTGCATTTCTCCTGCAATACCATTCCCTGCAGAGACAAGTGTTCAGCCTACGGGTTTGTCTCTGTGTTTTAATCTGCATTACCAGGTGACTGCACATACACAATGTGTGAGAACAACTCGAACACAGTACTAACAAACCTACCCCATGCTACTTTCACACTGTGGGAATGGATCTTCCCCTTTGCACTTGGTTTACTTGGTGGCCCAGGTTTGTCAGGGTTGGTGCTGTGTTCCACTACCTCACTTGGGCTGCTTTTTCCTTCGCTGTTGTAGGCAAAGAGCTGTTCAGGAACAAACAGAACATGTAAGTGACTGGAAAGATTGATTTAATGATGGGTAACACACTGATGATTTACAAAACTCTTCCATGCAAAAGCAACAACAATTGCAGGTAAATTTCTCTAGTTTCCATAGAAAGGGTCTTAGCTATAAGAAAATGCTAAAATCCCAGAAATGCATATGGTCATAATTAAATTAGTAACAAAACATAGTACAAACCCTAAACTTATAGGATGTACTCCTTCTAAGATTTCTTAAAGTGCACGAGAGTTCGTCTCCGTTGTATTGTGGCTGGAAACCATAACCCTACAAAGAAGGAAAAACAAGGACAAAATGCAGTCACTAGTTTTCCATGATAAAATGAGAAAGTGATTGGACAGTGAAGGATAGACAACGATAACGTCCTTGCAAAATAAGATCTGGGAGGAGCAGAGGAAGGATAGGGGATCCCTACAAAACAAGATAAAAGATAAAGCTGAGAAGAAGAGTTTCAAGTCCCAAGGATCTGGTTAAACAAACTTATCTTGCAAGTACATGGCAGGAGATGCTGGCTTAGCCCCTTGTGCACATCTTGTTTGTTGGGCAGAACGAAGAGTGACAGACAGTTTCAGTTGGACAAAACAACCAACTCTGAATCCAGAGTACAAAGTATGTGTCAACAAAGGAAACGAAGGGCTGTACCACAGGGGGATGGCTGACAGGAGAATGGAGAAAATGTGAACCTCAAGTACCTCAGCCAATGGGGAAAGGACTCACTAGTGTCAGGGTACAGGGATAACAGAGGGGCTGTGTGTCCCCCAGAAATGTGAGAGACCCCATAGGGGTACAGCCCAGTGGATTCTCTCTTTATTCAAATTAAGGAAGATGAAGACTGTCCTGTCTTTTTTTGGGTAAAGATGGTTGAGCAAGCTTATTGGAGCAGAAATTTTTCTAACAGACAGATTGTTTTTCATTGTTGTTGTTGTTGTTCTAGCTGGAACTTCATCTTTATTTCATAAATGCATGCAGTGCTTGCCAATTTGGAAATAAAATACTGGTTGAAATGTTTATTTATGCCCAACCATGTATCGAGCTTTTATAGATATGAAAGAAAGCTGCACTTACAGAACCTTCTTCTTCCACGTCTAAAGTATAAGTGAGGGAGTCCTCTGAGGACACGCCGCTGGGTGGGCTCCACTGCAGGGCCAGCCAGGTCACTCCAGCTTCAACGAGCACCGGGGGAGGTGGGGCTGGGGGGACCATCCCTGCTGTGTAGTACGTCACCGTCTCGCTAAACCCACTGCAAAAATGGTTTTTTGGGAAGTTAGCAATGGCACTGGGCAGCTGATGAGAAAATGGATGATACCACAAATTGAGTTCCTTACCTCATTCCAATATCGTTTTTAGCAGCCAGTCTAAGCGAGTATTTTGTGGAAGGAGAGAGTTTGGTGAGCTTGTACTGCTTCAGGTGCCCGTAGTAGCATTCTTTGAAGGGTCCGTTCTTCCCCTTAAAAAAAGTGAGAACGACCTGAGCAACTTCTTGCACTGAGACTGTGCACTCCCTGCTAAGGTCATTTTCTTAACCTCTAACTTTTCCTAAATTTCACTGCACTAATTTAATAAAAACTAGATTAAAAGAAACAATAAGTCCAAAGAATTAGAAAGCTACAGTCACCCACACCACGCTGAGCATGCCTGACAGCAATCCTGAGCACTCCAGGTGCCAGAATCACATCTGATAGAGGTGAGATGATTTTTTGGTACTGGAGTTGTGACAAAATTGTAATAAATCACTGCAACTGAAAATAAACCACAAATTTGCAGTTTTTACCACTTTGGGATATATTTCTTTAAGAAGTTCAGACTGGGGCAGTATTTTTGACAGCTACTGAAGGGAGAAGCCAAACACTTGATAAACAAAGGCCAGGAATTGATGCTGCTCTGACTGACAAGGACCACGTGAGGACACTGAGCACGGCTCTCAGAGGACCTGAACTGATGGTCTGCTCCAATGCTTCACTACTACCAATGGCATTCAAGATCTCTAACTGACTTAACTGCCTAAGCAGTTGCACTGAAAATAGTGGATGAACCAAAGCAGAAAAGTATTTTTAAAGTATAATTGGTCATTACATTGCTGGGTATTTTTTCCACTAGAAAAGGGCTTACCTCATCCCATTCTAAAAGAAAATTAGTTATTTTGGAACCGTTGTCATTTGAAGACTGAAAATAAAGAAACAGTGAAAAAAGTTAAAATCAAACAGTTGAATGATTGCATTTTTTCCATATTAAGACAACAATTGAGTGGTCAAATATATTTATAAATTCCAACTGCCTTTTAAAATGAAAAGAGCTGAAAAAGTCTGCAGTAAGCACACACAACAGCTTCTCTTCTTCCACAAACACTTTTGATAACCTGCAGCTCTGAGCACGTGCTCTGTAAAGTGAGCCAGAGAGGAGTGGGTAAAAGCCAACAGCTCATTCCATCCCTCACTCCTGATGGCTCTCTGAACTGCTACATTAATATTTTGAATTAATTTGCTTTCTAGGAAATTCAAGAAATTAGGAACTTCCTAAGTGCAGATTATACAGATAATTTAACTGATATTATTCATCTATTAACCATTTTTTCCAGGTGTAAACATAGCTGTTAGAAAAACATGGAATGATAATAAAACACACTGACTGAATCTTCAGATTATACTGCATGTATTCAAAAGTCAGATTCAAAGGGCAATGTACAAACTAGAGAAAGAAATTCACTATGAGCTGGTACAAGTAACTACCAGAATTACAGAATTATAACGTTATCATCTAGAAAAACCCCACTTGAAAACATACGTGCTCTCTCTCCTTTCTTACAGTGCCATTTCAGAAGAGAACTTTCCCACCAGACAGTCCATACTTAAGAGAGTGCTGCTTCCAACTCCATCATGCTAAAGCCATGTGCAAGAAGTAAGCAAGCAACAAAGGAAGCAGGAAGAAGCGATCATGATTTCAGCCACCAGCCTTAACTGAGCAAAAGCTAACATCTAAAACAAACAATACATTACAGGCAAAGCTAACGTAAGCACACTGGTACGAATACATCAGTCTGCTTTCTGCTTACCTTCCACTGCAAACTCAGGCTGTTTTTGGTTCTATTAATTAGCTTCGGTGCAGCTGGACAATCTGGCTCACAACTTTCCGTAGTGAAACTCACTAATTCTGAAACAGATTCCTTTATGGAACTGCTGGTTGCTGAAACTCTAAACAAAAGGACAAGAAATTATGTTATCACATTGGCACCTCAGAATTTAAGGAAAGATTTATCAGCTTGAGAAATGCATTTAATTGTAAGTTGTCATAACAGCAGCAGGACCAGAGCCTTTTGTTACTGCAGATCACTGGTTCCAAAGCATTGCTCAGGAATGAAGAAACAAAACCTCATTTCATGATCTCACTCCAGGTTTCAGTAACTGATGTTCACGTAACAAACACCAGCATCCAAAAGAATTCTAAAATCATAGAAACACAGAATGGCCTGGGTTGCAAAGGACCACAACGCTCATCTAGTTTCAACCCCCTGCTATGTGCAGGGTTGCCAACCAGCAGAGCAGGCTGCCCAGAGCCACATCCAGCCTGGCCTTGAATGCCTCTAGCCAGAAGATAACCCGATGTTTATATTTTGGAGAAACAAGAGGGGAGAGGAGATAGCAGAGCGCTGGACAAAGCGAGGCGACATTTTTAGGGAGTTAGAAGATATGTGGAAACCAGCCACAGTAACATCCACAGCTGTGATGCTTCACGCACAGTATTCCTCAAGTTTTCTGCAACCACACCCTTCTGATGAAGCCATGACGACTTTATAATTAGCCCAAAAACAACAGCATGAAGCATTCTGTTGCAGCAACATACCTGGCATGGTAATCGGTTGCTGGTCTGAGATCAGGAAGGGTAATTGTTAATTCCTCCCCACTATAAAAAGGGAAAAGAAGAAAAGTTACAGCTCTTCCTTATACTGTCAGGGATAAAAGCTTATTGAAAAGCAAAACCAAGTAGCGCATATTTAACTTTCAAGTTTTCCATTGTCCATGTAAGTCATACTGAAATTACTTAAACTTTATTGCATGTGAAGTAGGTAGGTCTGCAAGTCAACAAACAGCTCCTGATAAAGAGATTGCTGCTCGGTTAATGGTTTTAAACATCAGTATTGTGCTTAAAGGAAGAAACTAAACTTACACATAGACAGATTTAAATTTTCCATTTTTACCACTGTTGGATATTGCTACTTCAAATGTAAATGCTGCTGGACTATGACTATGGCTCTCTCCATTCTGTGAACTAACTGGGAGATTCCAGGACAGAACGGCTGATCTTGCTTGTATATCAGAAACCTATTAAAAGCATAAATAATGCAAGTAAGTTTGCTTTCTGTAATAAAAGGTATGTTAGTCAATAACACGGTGTTGCTAGTTTGCCCTTGAAGTTCCTCACGGGAGGAATTCTTTACCTTTGTAGTGGAAATATCAAGTCATCATTTGAATTTAACATTATTTTGTTTTCACTTCTAAAATCACATTAAAGGATTTCCCTTACTTATAGGCACATTACATCATCTCAGTGTATGAAGAGGAGCTCTGTATTTCACCTGCACTGTTTGCATCACTCATTTAGAGCAAATTTTCAGATCTGGAATCTTCAGCACTGGCAGCAGGTCTGTGTTTAGGCACAGTCAGATGACCTCACTTTCTAAAGGCACTGCAACTTCACCACTTAATCTTAACATTCAACCAATAACCTGGCCGACAGCGAGAGGCTCTGATTTTAACTGCTCAAGACTAAACATCTTCTGTCTAAGCAAAATGTCTCTGACAAAATTCAATACAGCCTTCTGATGACATTAAGTACAGATGTCAGAGGCATCAGTGAAAAAAAGACTGTAGAAAAGAATGGCTGGACAGCTAGAGCAGAAAAAACACAACCCATGCTTAACGTATCCATAGCACAAGGAAGAGTTCACTGAATGTGCTTGTGACCACAAATCAGTGCAGTCTTAGCCTCTAGATATTCAAATTCATGTTAGCAGATTCCAGTATCTTGAGCAGTCTGTAAATACTCAAATATTTGCTCCAATTTCTTAGCATAAAAAGATGAGCTGTTTCTGTAACTTCCATTCCCAGTACCTTACATCCTCCTCGCTAAATGAAGGCCACTTCAAAGAGCTAACAGGTTATCACTACGTCAGCAGGCTCTCTGCTCTCCAGGCACTTAAGTCCTCATGTACACACACCACAACTCCACCAGCAGGTACAGCCCTGCCTTACAGGCTGGGAAGAGGAATCACTCAGCCTGCTTCAGTAAAAGCAGGCTTCTATATCTCCATTGCCCTTTCCCAGACATAAACCCTGGCAAGTAAAATACATTTTCTCTACTACAGAAATTAACAATGATAGAAAAGGAGATTGATGAGAAAGCTGTGTTATTTAACACCAAGCACGTGCCCAGAAAATAATGGTATTTTAAAGGTAATACTTACTACTGGCTTGCCAATGCTCAAGTGAGTATCATACTTCTTGGATTCTGTGTCAGATTCTGAAATTTCAAATACAAAACAGATTACAGAAAACCCCCAGAGTAAAAACCAGTCTGTTACAGAAGTGCCACCACAAGATGGAGTGCGTTTCATTAAGAGCTTAACAATAGCACTTATTGTGCAAAGTTAGCTTCTCCTGTTTGTTTTGGCTGCGTGACGGTTAGAAACATGAACTATCCAAAACTAACAGCGTTACAAAAACCCTTTTAGTCCATCCTGCACAAAGGGTATATTTTCCCAATCTGAGCAGAAGCGGGTTTTCTTTGATAACACAAAAACATTCCTCCAAAAACGAAAGGTGTTAAAAAATGACAGTAAGATCTTATCTTGCTATCATATGTGCTGGTCCCCGAATTTCCACTGTAAGCCACATAATTTGAAAGAATCCTGATCATCAAAATTGCATACTGGCAATACCTATGGGTATCAAAAGGTTTACACCTGCAGAATGGATCCTGACTTGAAAATTGTCCACAACAAACAATTCTGGATATTTTTCTCAAAAATTTCTTGGTTTTTTTTTTCTCTGGAAGTAAGTTTGCATTAAGACAAATCTCTAATCAAGTATCTCTCTAGTCCCTGAAACAAGCTGGATAAGAACTTCCACTTCTGTTTACTTCCCCAGTCACAGAGTAAGATATTTGTTTTATTTCTCTAAGCAAAGAGCTCAGTACAACAGTGACGCAGATGAGGACTGTCCCTTGCTGCCTAAAAAGATCATTTCCTTGTAAGATATACACACACAGCACTGAAGAGATGCAATTAATTTATAGACCCTTGATAAGAAACCAGGTGCACACTGGTGACAGTGTTCCAAACCAGCACAAAAGACACTGACACAAGGTATTTTAGTAGATGCAAGTAAATAGCCATGAGCTATTAAAAAGCTCAAACGTTCATTTCAGCAAAATAATGTACTGCTCTGAAATTGCAGCTGATCAAACAGCAACCTGTGAAGGCAGTTGCTCAAACCATCCTATTTCTTCGAGTCTCACATAACTCCTGTTTATCCAAACACTTAGGAAAGAATGACACCAGAAGTCACTTATGTGAGTACAACAATTCATCCTCACTTGGAACACGGAGCAGAGTCCCAGGTCAGAAAAGGAAGAAGAGCCATGAGAGGCTCAGACTCAAATCTTCCTAAACATCTCATTTGGTAAAACCTCAGATGATCAAAGTTGATACAACTAGTATTTCTACAGGATCACAGATAAATAAATGAACGACTAAAAATCCAAACACAGAAAAGCTACATCAGGTTTTATTCAACCCCACGCAAATGGAGAAAATTTACTAATCCAATTTTCTGCAGAAACCACTTTGCAATGAATGCATAGCAGCTTCTAATGACCAAAGATGTACTGTGTTGGTTTTTTTGTTAACCTTTTTGATGCAACCTACCTCCCATCTCTGCATCTGGACAGCCCTTTGTTTTTCCTATCTGCTTCTGCTTTAGCGGCCCTCCTGTCCCTTGCTGTCCTTTTCCATTTCCGTTCTGAACTGCTGCACTGGAAGAATTATTAACTTTATGTGGTGAAGATGGAGGACTGTTAAGCTTATTGTTAGTGTGACCGCTCGCTTGTCTGTCTTTTAGTCTTTTCTTCAGGTGCTCTTGCATTTTGAGACTCCTTTCATCTCGCTGAATAAAGTTTGTCCTTCCATGAGAACGAGGTTCTAGAAAGCAAAGGAAACACTGTTTTTGATCCCAAATTGACTTCACATTTGTTGTTGCTTTTTCCTGATTTAATTCAGAAAACCATCTTCTGTTAGTTGCCTGGGATCAGGCCTTAAAGTCGCCCTCCTTCCCTGATAGATATTCATATTTTCAAAGAAATGTACACAAGCACAGGACCCGAGCTAACTTTTAAAAATGTAGCTGAAGTGCTTCTATTTTATGCTAGACATTAGCTGAAATAGCTTAATTAATGATTTAAACTTGATAGAAAGAGAATGATCTTCCGCAGTCTAATTTCTTCCTGCATTAAATGCCAGTTTTCAGAAGCAGCTTATAGGCTGTCTCAGGTCAGCAGGGATCCTCCCCTGAAATACTGCTTCAGTCAGCTATTAAATATAGAGCAGACTTGCATTTCAATCTCCAACATGGATGACTATGATTTTTGATGCATGTGTCATTACTTTTTATTTTCTTTCCAGTTCCATTTGGATTCTGTCTAGCAAAAAATACATTCACATATTAACATTAACCACGTTTTCAAAAGCTGTATGCCAAGGCTGCAACCAAACACAGCAGCTCTTGAGAGCACAAGTTTAGGGGAAGGCAGATGCAATCATAAACAGCAACAAAAACAAAGATCCATTTAAAAAACCACATGCAGCATCATAACATTTCAAAGCTGTTGCTTTCGCATAAATCCTTACAAACAGAAGTTTCAGCTTTATATACTGATGCTTTGCACACGCAGTGCCACAGGCTGGGCTATGGGTTTCAGGGAAGCTGGAAACACGAGAAGGAGCTACCAGCAGAACTCAGGTGTCCCAGCCCACACACTGAGCAGAAAGACTCCTCTTGTATTTCAGCACTGCCTGCACGCTCACCTTGCTCCTGGAAAACGTGTGGCGGTGGATGCTGGTGGATGAACTGCGGCGGCAGCTCTCCTGTCCCAGGAACAGGGGGGTACACTGGGTGTGGGGGGTGGGGGAGCAGAGCGTGGTGGTGATGCATGTAATGGGGCACGTGGGGGGGAGGATGAGGCGGAGGATGCATGGAAGGATGGAATTCAGCCGAGTGTGGCAACACCACCACTTTGCGAACTCCATTTTCTTCCACCACCTGTCAAGCAATGTAAGAAATGGAAAGTCAGTACAGATACAAGCTTTAATAAGGAATCTCCCTGCCTAAGTCTTCACCCAGCAATCTGACAGGCAGGGGTATACAAACAGAAGTAAATCCCAGTGGAAATCCAGCACGTGTTATTAGAAGGAACTGGAGTTTCAGGCTGTCAGATTTAAGAAGCTGAGCCTCGCACATTGAAACGTTAAGCAATCTAAAATCTATGAATTATTTATACTTCTCTGAAGAAAACCAAGTAGTGTGGACTGACCAGGGTGCAGTGCCCCCTGTAGCTGCAACTACAGCCTGCTTTAGACCAGATCCAATCTGACAGCATGAGCCACGTGCAAGTCACTGCGCAGCGTGCCATCCTCAGAGCATGGCTGCACACACATCCACAGCCCGTGGCAAGCACACAGCACTGCACGTCAGCTCTGCTGACTCGTGCTGTGATCCAACCCAACTCAGATGTCGGGATAGTTCATGTCAGCCATGGGCTAAGGGAGCACAGACAGGGAACCTCCCTGCACGGCTCAGCTCTGGGATCAAAAGGTGCCGGTGCTCCAACACACAGAAAAGAGACTGCATGTGTATGGACAGGTGCACACACACTGTGAGCATGTCCTAAAATGGCAATGTGCCAGATCAGCTAGACTGTATTAAATCCTCTTTAAAGGTAGACAGTAAATGAATTGTCTTCTGTTCTCCCTCACTCAAAAAAATAATCAGGGATGAACAATGCAATTGGAAAAAAAAAAATCACTACCAGAAAGATGCTCGATTTTTAGGGCAAATGGACACTTTCAAATTAATCATCTTGGCAGGAAAACAGGGCATTTTTCTTAGATTGGTTTAAAATTGCTCTGCAGCTTTATGCTTCCTTCTCCTGTGAGCTGCATCAAAAGCACAGATCACATCTGTGGGTGGGAAGGGCCTTCAGTGCTGCAGCACTGATGCAATGCTGGGTCCCAGAGCAGCTCTGGGCTGAGGCTGTGGGGAGGCACTCCAGCTGCAGGCTGGCAAACAAACAGGAGATGCAAACCCTTTTTCATGCAATCTGTAAAGTAAATTATATAAAATAAATCCTGCTCTTAGATAAGTTCAAATCTTCTACATAGCACTCTGTTACTAAAACATACAAAACTTATATTTTCGGGCATTTATAAAAAGCACTTTCCTCAAAGCAGACCATATTCTTTATCCTGTTAGTTCCTTCGAGATCCTCTCTTAAAGCATGTTTGGTTTGGCTGTAAGAAATCACTCCAGCATTTCCTAGTTGGCAAAGAAGGCATTACGGATGTTGAAATACTGCTCATGCCAAAAGTACATTTTGAAAAGCTCCTCAGCAAAAGATAGAGCAAACGAAGCACAAGTATTCTGCAGAAGGGAAATAGGACGTGTCCAGTCCCAAACTGCTATGACAGAGTTCAGCTGCACAATGACCTCGGAGCCAGCTGTGCTACCAGGAATTCTTAACAGACCTCACGAAGAAGAAAAAAATGGTATGAGTTCACTTAAGACCAAGTCTGTGTTACATTGAATGTGGTTTGTTCTCGAAGCAACGTGGGGGGGTTCAGTTATCAATGGAACTGAACACTCCACTTCACCTACATGACTGTACACAGCACTGTAACACATGCATTCACACATGCAAGCCAAAGCTCATAGCAGAGGCTGTGGGTTACACTTACTCTATGCATACAGTAACCAAGCAAGCACAAGAAGTCTATGTTCTGCCAGAAGGGATGCACTGCTATGATAAAGTTTTCATATGATTTTACTGTTTGAAGCTGCTGCATCTCCACTAAGCACTACTAAATCTCTTCATTGCAGTTTGGAAGAAAGCAGCATAAATACTTCTGGGTTCCTTCAGACAGTTCTGAGAACAACAAGTTCAAGTCTCACACGTTGATGAGTTTTTATACATGTGGCTACATGGTTCTCAGTCCTACTTGGAAAACTCCAGATTCTGAGCATTACCAGAAACCAAGAAATCCAGCTTAGCCCACTGGGGAAAAAAAGTTTTTCATTACTTTCCTTTAAAAATGCATTAATTCAAAAGTAAATCAAACTGAACTTCGAGTATGTCTGATAGGAGCTCAAGTACCACACACTGCTCTGATCTGCCATGACTTAACAGCACAGCAGAGTGGAAAATCAGTGAGAATGGAAAAATTAAGGCAGGAGAGAAGCCCAGAGCCTGCTGTTTTCCTAGGCACGTGTCACCAGCATTAACACTCCTGCTCACACTTCTGCTATAACAGTAGAGTCTTTTGCTGAATGCTAAGCAGATCAGAGCTGGGAGATGAACAGAGTTATGCTATGATAGAAAAATCTGAATTATGAGAAAATGTTAAAAAGAAATAACTAATGCAGTCTTGGAAAAAAAAAGAAGACCTGAGAGATGAAAGAGCTTGGTAAAGATCTGTGGTCCATATAACCTCAATGTAAGAAACTCGAGTCTCATACCCAGAGCGGAGATGAGTTCACCTGCTGCCAGCAGCTGTGCTCCCAGAGGCTGTTCTAACACAGCCAAGCTCCAGTACACCCATCAGCCCTCTGGTACTTTGTGGTCTGCAGTCCAGTAGATATGCCCTAAGCACTTACTTTCACCCTGAAAACCGGGCTGAATCAAAATCAGGACGTGCATCGTGTCAATGGAACTCAGTGGCCAATTCAGTCATTCATTGTCTTGCAAAAAGGAATCTTTTTTGGCCACCTAACTATCGAAGAAAAAAATAATAGCCCTGAGAACTGGCTCAAGTTTTACCAAGCAAACTGTGAGAGCGCCTGCAGCAAAGTCAGTTAAATATTTGGTAAGTTCAGTGGAAAAAATGAGAAATGCTTTTAACAGTTGTTGCAAATAAAACAATCAATATCTTCCTTGTTAAACAGCCATACCCACAAACACACTTCAACACAAGAACAAATTAACGTTTACCTGAGATACATAACCGGGAGGCACAAAAATAGGTGGCATAGAACCATTTGGTGACATCATAGGAACATGGGCTGGACCTGGGAAGGAAAGAGGTGCCACTTCAGAACAGGTATGGCTCTGGGACACCAGTTTTCAAGAGTGATCAGCACCAACATCACTTGCATTACAGTAATGCTGATAAAGAGTCTACCAACATTTATAAGAAGTAAATGTATACTATTTTTCACATCAAGCTGCAAGATTGTATTCCTCTCTGGGATGTGATGGAAGCAGAATAGACATTTTTGTATAATATTGTTTGAGATATTTTTACAATGGAAGTACTGATAAATTCAACTTGACTTACAGGAGATATTTTGAACCAGCAGCAGATTTGCAGCTCGGTCACCTACCCACAAGCCAAACAGTGGTTTGTAACCACACAGAGGGCAGTGACTCTTCCCTCAGCACTAACACACTGCTAATGCCACTGCCTTGCATTGCAGCAAGGTCACACAGCACCCATTAAAGTTGTTTAGATGGAACTAAATCTCACAAGTTCATGTGCTGTGAATCTGAGAAGATAGATGCTTGAGGACCACTGGAAGAGCAGCTGAGATGCTGACCTCTTAAAAGCTATCAGCAAAGCGTGCAGGGCTGCAGGGAAGCCTGCCAGTTTCCCAGCACTGTCTTATTTGTGCTTTAAGTACAAACTGAAAAAATCTGGTTTATTGCATTGCAGAGCACATAAAAACGTCTGATGTAAAAGAAAGAAATTGCAGTAATTTTATGATATTTTGTTATTTGATTTAGTACTCCAGTCTTTCCCTTACCTTGAATACACTGAATGTGTCCATCTTCAGTTGTAATTGTAAATGTTTCACCTGGGTTCACCTGCACAAGAATAACCTGTTTAAAAAAAAAACCAACAATTTAAAAATAGTTAGCTTTTTACTTATTTATTTTAAAGATTGCTTAATCTATACACACACATCTCACTTCATGTAATTTTATGCATTCCTGAGAAGTATCCTCTATTGCTCAGAACAGGAAGTTTGCACAGATCTGTTACATTTAAGCAATGTGTGTAAAACAAGACCCAAAGGAACAGCTTGTTAAATGCTGGTCAATGCCAACTCTGCAGCTTCTGCATACTGCCATACTCATCTTTTTTAACTTATAACATGGGATGTGGAAGCATAACCGAACACAGACCCGACCCCAGTGAGCTCACAGGACAGGAAACAATTCTGCTCTGGATAGGTGAGCTGCTTCTGGACATGAGCACAGCACCTGGAGAAGTCAGGCAGCCACTCAGCAATACTGCGGTTCCAACAAGGGGTCAGGGGCAGACAGCACTGTTCAAAAAGGTGTAATTTGAACACTGAACTGTAACTAAGTCTGTCACTTCAGTACATCAGTAAACGTGTAGCTTTAACTCTGCTACATTTCTAGCAGTAGAGAAAGCGATGCAATGTTTCTTATTGGTTTGTTGAACAACATACCAAACAGACAATAACAGGCTGGGGATTTGCCAGAGCACAAAGGAAATACAAAGTCTGCAGTGAAGAACTGCTGCTGGGACAGACCCCACAGGCAGGTGTTTAAGCTCACAACTCACCTCCGAGGACAAGAGAAATCAGAGGCAGGGAAGGGATGCTTTAAAAATTCAGAGCCTTTGAACAGGACTGATTTTCAGAAGTTCCAATTAACTGGAGTTAAGGAAACTATTAACTGAACTGAGTGAAAAGGATCCCAAGTGGTGTAAGCACAGGACTGCAGAGCAACACTGAGACTGGAATGTCAGGAATGCACGGGGCAATGTCTCAGAGGAATGACTCACTATAATTAATGAAGCAAATGCAATTCCATCTACCTTCCATCAAGGAAAACTTCCAGGAAGCCTGAATGCTCCTCAGGAGTCAGCCTAAGCCTGGTAAGGGGCAGCACAGAGCACTCACAATAAGGCTGACACCTCCAGGTGCCCCACAGAACCATTTTGGAACTAATGGGATCAGCACAGTTTGAGAGCTATTTCAAAGCACCATTCAGCATTTTGCTGCTATGCACTTTCTATTGCTGAAGTTTTGTTGTTGTTGTTTTTTTGAAACAAGAAACCCTTCCAGAAAACTTCTGAGTTCCTCTCTGTGAAATGGAACTGACGAGCTGGAAGCTGCATCTGACTGACAGGACTTGCCAAACAGCACACATTTTACTTCTACAAACCACTGTGTAATATTTTATAATTAGCCCATCCTCTTTGGCACTGGCAGTAAAATGATTAAAACTCATCTGCCTTAATAAAGCTTTCAAGTTAATACTCTGCTTAACAGCGAGCTTGCAAATGTGGCTCAGAAGCTTCTACTCCCTGCAAGTGAGAGCAGCAGAGGAGAGCAGAGCTTTGCGTGTCCTGTGACTGCAGGATGGCTGTTTATAAACAGTGAGAAATGCTGGCACAGTGACATGAAGTGACATTCTCACCCCATGAAGACAGACACACCTATTTTCACTAGACAGACTTACTCGTTATTTCCAAAATAACTCAGCTTAGAGACTATCTGCTTTCAAGTCTGCTCTTAAAAGGCCATTTTCCCGTGCATCTCCAAGACTCAACTCTTTTAAGCCCTACCCGACTGCAAACAGCCTCCACTGGGCTCCCCAGACTCCAATGACAGTCACCTTTTGGTCACTCACTGCTCACTGATATTCTACACACTGGTCTGTACAAGGACATGTTACACAAACACAGCGACAGAGCTGGTCTCCAGTGAGACCCACTCATCTCTTTTCCTCGTGTAACAAGAACACCAGCAAATGAATAACCTCACAGCTGGCCAGTGTCTAAAATTTCATGTTGCTAATGCTAGAACTGCAGAACGAGCTGAGATATTCTATAGCTTTGTTTATTTCAAGTCGTCTTATCTCCAGAGTAAGAGAAAAAAACGCAGAGTACAATTACTCATCACTTTTTTTTATAGTAAGGGCTATCATTTCTACACAGAAGTGCCCTACAACTGAAGTAATGCAGGTCTCTCCTCTTTCCCACCTGTAACGTTTACAAAATAAAAGAGATTTAATTTTAAATCTTCCAGCATACACTGCTTCCCAGGTCCTCAGCAGCTCACGATGCTGCTGTACCCTATTTATTTGCTGTGCATTCAAACACACCAACGTCTTCACAGTCACCCTTCCCCACCATTTTACAGGAGAGTTATCCTACAGAAACTCCTATGCAATTTTCCCTTCTGAATGAACCCCCTAATTCCTATTTTAATTACTGCCAGATACTCAAAGCTACATACTGACCAGAATAAAGGAATGGACAACCCTGTTCCTCACTTCAACAGACAATTATTTGACTTCAGGCACATAATGCCTCCAGATTTATCTTTTGTTATTCCTGCAATTCAGTTATGTCAACAAACCAAACACCCTTTTCTTTCCTACAAGGACCAGTTATGTTTGTAGCTTCTTAAATTAAGATCCCAAGTTAAAACAACAGGACGTCTGTGAGATTTCAGTGGTTGTTCAGCAATGCATCTCCCAACGATGGGAATTTATAGTAGAAGGCACTTCACTTTTACTGCTAAGTACTAAATTTACTTCAAATTTAGCGACAATCTGTGCAAGCTTGTACTGTTATCTGTATTTCTACTCATAGTAAGTGCTTCTGAAGGGTTGTGTCCCCCAAAATTCTAACGTTTCAGCTCTACTCAGGTTTCATTAGCATGCTGTAATTATTAATGAAGATTCCTAGCATCAGGGAACTGAAGGTCTTTCCTCTCCTCTACATTTTCCTGCAATAGGTTTCTCAGTTTAAAGCATTGCAGCTTCTCTCTAATCTGTATCGACTTGTTTTATTATGTATTAAATCCACACATTTTCCCCTTTCCTATTTGATTTTTTTTTTAAGTTTAATATTAAAGACTTACGTGTGTATAAAACACTGCAAATTAAAAGCAATCTTTTCATATTTCCACTGCAGTAATATTGAATGATTTTCTTCCTCTTTAGATTTGCACTGACAGTATCAGTGCTGAGAACCATACACTTGCAGAGTCATAGAACAAGATGGAAGGGACTCACATTCACCTACTTCCAGCCCCCCACTGCATCAGATTGCTCGAGGTCCCATCCAGCCTGGCCCTGAACACTTCCTTGGAGGGAGTAACTGCAAATCAGTACCACAGTTGCTTTCTTTGGAGCCTTCTTTCAGCCACCACAAAAGCTGGCCAGCAAATAGTTTGTTTGAATCAGTTCTGTCTTCTACAGTACACCTGAATGCCAGCCTCCCTGCAAGCCCTGCAGGCACAGTTTGACAGGGACCCAGATGGAAGCACGAGGGATGGACTTGCCTGTTGGATGCTGTCTCCATTAACCATGTGAGGTAGAAGTGGCACTTCGTTCAATAGAGGCGTAGCTTCTAACGGAGGTGGCTGGTCGGCCATCATGTCTGAAAACCATTCATTGACAGCTGCTCACAGTAATCGCCTGCTGAAACAAAAAGACAGCACCAGTGTTAGGTTTCAGCCACTCCCCTTTCCCAAATAATTCTCCACTTTGTTTGCCAAACATGGTACCAGTAATTCAGAAGAAAAACACAGCATTCAATGCCTTCAGCATACCACAACTCTGCCCCAAAGATACGCAAATAAACTGACCTTAATTGGAGCCTAAAGCTGGTATGAAGCATTCCCTTCTGCCCTCATTGCACATTTAAGAACTCGTGCAAACGGACAGCCTTGACAGCATGGAGGGCATCACCTCAGATGTCCGTGTTCTTTCCAATGGTGCTCTCAAGGAGTACAAGTTATTATCCTGTTCTCAAGTACTGTGTATCAGCAATGCATATCCTCTTTCCAAAAATACATCCTTTAAAATAGCACACGCACCCCACTCCACATACCACAAGGGCTGACATCGCTACGTAAGCGATGCGATCACACGGCAGCATCATGTATGCTCACGTAGCATTTTATTCTTAAAATCTGGAGTTTTCTGAGTTTCTGAACTCGCTGTAAATAAAGTCTTACACCAAATAATTCATAGAACATACACACATTTCAATCTCTGCGGTGATCAAAACCCCTTCATTCTCCCCAGTGTTGCAACGTGCCATTAGTACAGAATTCTGGCACGGTGAAAACAACGCCTAAGGCAGTGTGAGACAGAGCAGAGTGCTTCGTATAGGAGTCTTTAAATGAGTACCATGGAGAACTGCAACTGGAAAAGCACTGCATAGCTGTGAGCTTCCCGTGAACGATCCGTAATTACAACAAAGCAAAATGCAGGGCAACTCTTCATGAATTTTTGATGAACAGTTAATTCAGCATCCATACAACGCACAAGGTAACAGGATACAGGAAATGCTGCCATTTCCTTCTCCTTTCCCATTACCTCCCATAACCCAGACAGAAGACCAAAATGCATTTAAGACAGACCAATTTATTACATTAAAAAAGCAAAACAGGAACAGCGTGCAAAAACACCAACTCACCTATGCGTGAACCAAGCCAGCCTACGAACAACTGCTAAACCAATATGGAAATAGCAGTGTTCAGAAAAACATCACAGCTGCACTCTCAGAATCTCTTCTGACGTTAAGTTCAGGTTGCCCAGAAATGGCCTGCAATAAAGGCCAACATTACAAGGTCCTCCTGCACTGCTGCTGCCAGATGAGAAGGCTGGGAGAGCACAGAGGCACAAACACACTCATTCTTGTTTGCAAAAGCATCTCAAAAGAACGGATACAATCACACAGCCACAAAACACAGCACAAAGGAACAGCCCATAGTGCCACAGATAGCCCTGGCTCTGCACACCAGCCACCCCCTGGCCCTGCTCCTGCCTTGGGATCTTAGGAGACCAAAGCAGGCTGCAGGGGTGGGAGGGCTACACAGGACTTCAAAGCACCGATTTGTATCAGGATTGCCCTAAATATACCCAGCTACCTTAGAGTGCCATTTATTTCCTGCAGAAAATCACCTTCCCTTCTGTTTGTCAAATTTTGAATGACTACTGCCAAGGAAACAAGCTCATCTGATTGTACAGAACTATTTCACTTAAAAATAACTGCTAACGCTGCCGGTCCATGGGCTAAAATTACAGCTGCAGTTTCTTCTACTACAACCCTCCTATTTTTAGAGGTTTCTAGCTAAGACTTCAGAGAAACTGCTTCCATAATAGGAATTCAGTACACACGAGCAGATTAAAAATACATTGTTTTATACATATGAATAAATACATAAAACACACGTGTCTGCATGCACAGTCTCAGTTTCATTCATCTAAGAACCTCAACAATGATAGAAATTAGCAATTAACATGAAGGGGAAAACCACTCACCAAAAAGCGACCAGATCCGCATTCAGCAGTTCAGCTGAGCACACAGAAATGCTGTGACATTTTGTCATTTTGATTAAAACAAGAGGCTAAAATCTGACGTACAGCAGAGTGCACATCCAGCAAAGCATTCACACGGCTATCTCAGCATGGGGCACAAATAAGTAAAAAAGAAATAATGACCGTGAGCCTCAGGAATTGAATCCGTCTCAGTACTTCAGACGTTCTGAAAATGAAATCTCAAATGGTTTCAGCCCAAAAGCGAAAGAAATACGTTATTCCTACGTATGGCTGTAGCTATTAACAAAAGTTGACTGAAATGAATAGAAGAGATGCTCACTGCACACTGGGTTTGCAAAGCCTCACTGAGCTACGTGTCAGTGTGCAGAACAGGACGAGGTGCCACTCTCAACCTCACACTGATACACAGCCAGATAAACCTTCTCCACTTATTACACTGATGTTGGTTTCCACATGAGGCTTCCCTGTTCTAACACCCATAACTAACATTTTTCAGACTTTCATTTATACGACAGTTTACCGACAGTTGTGAAATACGGGTTTCAAATTACTCGATCAGTGTTAACAGATCCTAAGGGTTAGGTTTTGCTGTATCTGCTGTGCCAAAATAGGGTATAAAGGATCTTTAGAGCAAAGAAATCAGCTCAGATGTTAGAAGTGCTCTCTGAGAATCACTGAGCGATCCAAAAGCACACCAACGTAACGCGGTTCATCACGCTAACCGTATTAAAAGAGGCAATATTTTCCACTGACAGACTCACACTACAAAGGCTTCTAAGAAAAACAGAAAACCTTAATGACCAGCCTTCCAGAAAACAATGACAGCACACAGCGCCGGGTCTGACCTCACTTCCTGACACAGAAAAACGCACAGCCTGCACCGCTGCAATGTGGGCCTTCCCCTTCCCAGCCCCGATGCTCCTCCAGCAGCGCTGCAGTCATCTTGGAGCTGCTCCAGCTCTGAGCTCCCACCGAGCACAGTGCTCATGGATTCCACCCGCCTGCAGCTGAACTCAGTACCTCCAGGATGGAGCAGGCCTGCTTCATGCCACCAGCTCCGCTGTCCATCAGGGAAACCTCACTGACTTCCATGAGATGTTCTGAAAATGAAATCTCAAACGGTTTCAGTCCAAAAGAGAAAGAAATACGTTATTCCTATGTATGCATGTAGCTATTAACAAAAGTTGACTGAAATGAATAGAAGAGGTGCTCACTGCACACTGGGTTTGCAAAGCCCCACTGAGCTACGTGTCAGCGTGCAGAACAGGGCGAGGTGCCACTCTCAATCTCAGCTCACACCAGCACTGCTGTGTGCACGACAACAGGAAACTTCCAGCTGTGCCAGCAGTCCCCCTAAGGACAAGCCACGGCTGTAAGCACCCTTCTGTACACAGGCACTGCTTCTGCCTCACCCAGAGCTCTGCAACAGCAACCAGCAGCAGCAGCATGTCACCACGCCTGCAGGCATGCTTTGCTTCTGGCAGTGACCACAATCTGATTGGATTGGACTGGAATCTCCTGAGGTCCCTTCCAACCTCTGCAATTCCGTGGTTCATAGAATATCCCAAGTTGGAAGGGACCCCTGGCTCCAGAGAGAACCACCATGCAGTTATTTATATACACAGTGCAAAACAACAAAGAGTTGTGCGTTCTTTAAGTGTGTTCTACCATACTATACAAAATTAGGAACATTTCACAGACTGAAAGATAGCGTTCCTATTGAAATTATATCCTCATATTAATGACATGAGATTATTTATTGTGCAAATGTGCAGCAATGTCATACACTCACATAAGTTGCAGGCATCCTGCTATTTCATATTGAAGTGTTTTCCCAACGTATTGAAAACATCTCTTCAAAAGGCTTCATACTTATCCTAAAAGGGGGATAGGCTGCAGGCAGATATGGATCAGCCTCATTCTACTGTCCAGAACAAAAACTGAACCTATTCCATAAACAGTCAATATGCATTTCTAGTCCCGCACAGAAAGGGATGTAAACACTTTTCATTATAGTAAGTGCTGGGTTTAATATGAGAAAGCTGCTGTTTTAAGGAGCTCATTATTTAAATGGAGATGCTTTTATTTAAGCAGAGTGAGGCTGAGGTAGGGAGTACAACCTGCCCAGGGCCACAGAGGGATTCTGATGGGAAGACGGGCGCTCAGCTCACGGAGGTGTTTCCATGCCTTCAACTCTTTCAAACCTTGAAATATTTTGAGATAAAGTTTGCACCAAAGGCTGTTAAACAAGAGCAACAGATGAACAAAATGCCTCTACAGCAGCGGGGTAAGGAACTGCCTCATCAAAAGATCAGACCTTCCTAGGGATTTCAGAAAAGTTTCACCTCCCCCACCCAAAATGCACCCCATGTGATTTTGAGGTAGGAAACATTTAGGTTTAAAGACACAAGTTACCTTCTCCCAGTGTTTTTCAAATAAACAGCCCTAACAAAGTGTTTAAGATATCATCCTGATCCCAAAATAGTTCCCCTCAGCCACAGGACCACACGTGAGCCATGGAGAGCACTGGTTTACTTTCAGTGAGATTAAGGGAGCGAGAGCCCCAACAGAACCACACTTAACAGAGGCTCAGTTACAATTTTAGCTCTGAAGAGACCACCATCGCTCCATAACAGTCATCTGTTCAAAACTAAATATATGTTTTGATTAAAATGTTGGAAATAATTCATAATGACACCCGAGTGGATTTGGCTGCAGCACCTTGCCCGGAGCCTGGCTCCCAGCCAGGGGGCACCGCAGCCCTGATACTGAGAACACTCTTCATGACTTGTCCAACAGACGTGCTCAGTCACACATTTAACGCCTACAGCTGTGAAAAACCCCATATAATGGATCTAAGTGTACCCTGTGTCATTTTGACCTAGGTATTGCTAGAGCTTAGAGGTCCCTTCCAACCCAGGCCGTTCCAATCGCTAGCAATTTGGCTCCAGGTACGCTTTGTGATGTTAAACCTGCCAACTTGTGTTGCAGAACAGTATGAAACCCCAACAAAATGCTCACTGCACAGACATGCAGTACGTGGTTTTAGCACACTGCACCAGGTGCTTTCTTTGAGGTACCACGAAGTGATAACACCTCAACCCCAGCAGTAGTGAAGATGCACCGGTGCAGAACAACTCGTGTCCCTGCTTTGCACCATGATGAAAATAACAGCTACAAAAATGGCAGAGCTAGAAGCCTCCAAAGGCAGGGCAGGACAACCTGAAGTAACTACAGACGTGGCAACACTACAGAGATGCACACATTTTCCTGTATTTTCCAGAAAGCCTTACTGACACTGAAATGTTGATTCCATCACAGAACACGGAAGCCAGCACCATGTGTTTATCAGCCTGGCTCATCCGAAGACCTGACTGCCCACAGAAATTCTCCCCACAGGAAAATTCAGATTGAGATGGGAAGCCCTCATGTCACAGCCACCAAATTAAAAAAATCCCTAAAACCACAGAAACAGCAGATCAACAGGGTAGGACACACGGGAACTCTGCCACAAGTGATAGCATCACCTTCCAGCCTCCCCTACCAATCCGGATCAGGTTCCTGACGTGACTGTGCCAGGAAAGCAATAAAAAGAAATCCTCCACCCGCTAATAAAAACTATACAAGCAACTGTCCTCAGCACTTACAGACTGCTTTGTGTTCTGGTGTGACGTCCCTTAAGGTCTCAGAGCAATGGTGGGAAAGCAGATGCACCACCTGAAGGGAAGGGATGTAAAATATAAAACAGTCAATTGAAAAACAAACTCGTGATCCAAGAAAGCTTTCCATCAGAGCCACAAAAATAGAGCGCATCTTTGAAATGAAAAATTGATTTAAAAAAAGAAAGAGAAAGGAAAATCCTGCAAAGGGAACAAATGCAATGACAGCATCCTGACAGGGAATGCGGTGCAGTCATGTAGCAGTGGTGAAGAACAGCTGGAAAACTAAAGGTGTGCTTCCCTGCAAACAAAACACACAGCTGTAGAAAGATAACACTCTGCTCCTAAGACCACAGGCTGTGATGTGCCAGAGAACAGGCATCTGTTCCACACCGTGGTGACAAGCAGCAAGAGCCCCGGAGAAACCCTCCCCAGTCACCCCAAAGCAAACCAGGCTTCACAACTAAATAACCACTGAGCTCAACAGATGAAGCAAAATGTTTAAATCGGTGCCAAGAATGACAAGATGGGAAGTGCAAGTTTCTACAGGAGCTGCATGTGCTCTGAGTTCTGAATTTCAGGTTAAGTATCTGGAAAAATAAGTATGATTCTTCCCCGTGGGACAAATTTGGTCTTGAGGTGCAGCGTAAAGCTGAATCTCTTTTACAGTAACATTTTATTTACCAATCATCTTCATGGCGAAAAAGCATTGTTTCACAGAACAGAAAAAAAACCCAAAGCTTTTGTGTGTGCAGACAGCCCCACCACAACAGGAACAGACATATTCCACAGCATCATCCAAGTCTCCTCCGTGAAGAGAGGCATACCTACATCACAGAGGGCACGAGCATGCTCCCACTTCCAAGTGCTGTGTTTTGGTTTCCCATGGATGGCAGGTGGAGGCTGCCCTGCCCTGTCCTACACACTGCATTTCCAGACACTGAAGTGCCCCTGGGTGCCTTGCAGCCATGGGTGCCAGCATGCTGTGCCCACAGAACCTCCAGTGCCTACAGCACGGCAGCACCAAAGCACAGACCTCTGCAGCGCCAGAAGGTAACCGAGTGAGCACTGTGGGATGGCAGACACACACACAGTCAGACAGATGGTGTGATACAAACACCAGCTGATCCAAAAGTTATTTCCCAAACGTTCTGCATTCCTAATCCTGACTTTTTTTTTCTTTTTTTTTTTTTTCCAGACTTGACTGAGAGGAAGCAATCATTCAGATTACTAGAAACAACAGCCCTGCTTCCAGGAAAGGCTCTCTACCACAGCGCAGGTCAGAGCAGCCAGTTGTCATCTAATCCAACAAGAGAGAACAAAAGCAGGACTTAAGTCTTCGAGAACAAGGAGGATGAGAAACACTTTGCTTTTGCTACATGACGGTTTAAAAGTTTGACACACAAACCAAAAACTTTCTTGCACAAGAGAAGAAGTTCAGGCTGTAGTGCTTTAGATACAGAGCAGATCAGACCAGCCTCGTTTAAACAGGTTATACTTAAACCTAGTGCTAAAACACACCAAGAAATTGCTTACATTACCACATCTGAGCAGTCTCGTGGTCACTGACCATGTGCATTTCTTCAGTTTGTGAAAAATGTGAGGCAAAATGCAAATATGACATCATGCACGTGAGGTTTAAGCAAACGCCCATCACCCAGCACTTGTGACAGGTGAGCAGCACGCAGAAAGCCTCCAGCACAGCTCACCTGATGCATGCTAGCACTGAAATCAGCTGCTCCTGTACCTGAATTTATTGGTAGATCAGTTGAATTGCAGCACCTCTATGTAAGAGAATGAGTGGAGCCTAGCACAGTTTTGAAGACTCCAGGAATTACTGTTTACATCTATGCTTATTAAGGTTTTTTTTCCCAAGAAATCTAGGTGCTAAAAATCAAAACGACAGATTAAAATACACCAAAAGGTTGTCTATGTAATATCTTCCTGAAAACCTGCTTTGTATTTAATTATATTGTTTCCCATCACACCCTATTCTGTACTGGTCAGCTACCATTCAAGTCTTTCCTTGATCTCTTCTACTGCTTTAGACAACCATGAACCAAACCAGAAAATGGTTCAACTGCTCTTCACAAAGCTGAAAATACCATTCTACGAGCAAACGTAATCCACAGGAATCTTCATTAAAAGAAGAAAGCACAAGTGGTAGAATTCTGGCCTTCAAGACAAAACAAACATCACACTACTGATAATTTATTGTGCCAGGTTTCTCCCCACCCCAAAAAAGGTCAATCCCATGACCTGTCAGTTCCGTGAGCTCAAACCAACATACCTAAGCAGTGCCATCCAGTCGGTCACTTATTGGTATGCTACCACTCTCTTGAACTGTTTTCTCTACAGGAAATGCCTTTGCTAAAAACAGAATTTACTTTCTTTATACGAAGGCTGATTATGCAAGTCTCATTAAGACGAAAATTCCAGCTGGGGGAAGGAAAGTGAGATTAATGCCAAAATAAAGATAAGGTTGCTACATTATAAAACCAATAACGTTTACCTGGAAATACCGAGCTTCTTCCTACTTCAAGAACCCTATCAGTTCTTTCTTCTCTAACCCGTTTTTCATTTGACAGTAAGTTTCAAACAAAACAAAAGCAGAGAAGAAAAAAGAGAGTCCTAAGCTTAGAAGTTTCTCAAATATTTATATACTATTTCACCTTAACACACGAGAGACTTACCGAAAAAACGTCTCAGAAGATCTGGGAGAACAGCAAATTATGGCTAATTACCGCTGACACTCTCCTGACTTGAAGCTGCTCCTGCTGATAGATGTGTACGGTCACTGCCTGCTGTAGTAGGAGCAACGTGCTGTGCTGTCCGTCAGCCTTCCTTCTGTGGACAAGGAAAAAGAAATAGTGACTTTCTTCTTAGAAACTGGCAAGCACAGTCTTAAGGAAAAAAAAAAAAATCATGCAGAAAATAGCTTGTATTGAATAAGCTGCTGGAAAACAGCCAGAGAGATAAACTCCACCAGGATCTGCAAATAAGACTCAAGGAAGACTCCAGTGTCAGAATACCTCACGCAGCCTTCTTGCATCCATTCAGCACATGCAGAATGCAAAGCCTGACAACTGTGTAAACACACTCCACATACATTTATTACAGTATCAGCCACAGCTGTGATCTCATTAGTGAAAAGGAACTTGAATGCAGTGAAGACAGCTCTCATACATGGTATGTTCTCTGCAACTAAGTTGTCCGCTCACTGCTCTATTCTTCTATATGACAGTAATGAAGGGAAAATCAATTTCCTAACAGTACATAAACATATCCAGGTTGAAATTACCAGGAACATACTTGTCCTCTGATAAGGAACAGTGAAAGCAGAGCAGTTATGCAGCCTGAGGAAGGTGGTCATAGCTCTGTGTGATGGGCAGCACGGCTTCGTTCCAGGAACTGTCCCATCAAAGATGCTCCACCAGAAGATGCTAAGAAGACCTTCAGCATGCACCAAAGCCGTTCAAGAAGTGACATTTAACAACGTGAAAGCCATCACATCTTTCTCAAGGCACTGGACTGAGTACCAAATTCCAGTTCTGTCTGCACACTGATGAATAAGAATTGCCCTGTTTTGGCTCTCCACAATTACAACAACCCCAAACCATCGATTAGTTCCCAATATGTTTTTCCTAAAGTCAGGGCACAGGCCCCTGCTTTCTGGCTAGCTTTGCAGGAAGCAGACAGAAGCCCCTCCTGCAGACACAGCAGCTCCTTTGTTGCTCCCACCAGAAAGGTGATCTTGGCTCAAAGCCGCAGACGTCGCTGAGGTCGCAGCCTCATCATGTCCTCCTGAACTACTTTTCGTGAGATATGGGCATAAAAGCACAAAGCGCCAGGTCTCAGTGCTGGAAAAGCCTATCTTGAGCAAACCGAGGCATTTTTCCACATCAATCAGATATTGGGAACAATAGCAGATTTACATTAAGATTGAAACGGACGAAGGGCGCTGCGCCAGTGGTCTGTCCCTGCCGGTCGATACACAGAAAGGATTGTGTTAGCACCACTGAAAGAATAAATTATCGCTGCTTTTACAATAAGCTCTTCAAGAATGCAATAAAGAGTTCAGTGTGTGCTCCTCACTCAGGAATCCAAAACTTTTCAGTGAAGGTCTGGCGTGCAGCAAAGATAACAGCTGAAAACCAACCATCTTGACTTTGGTAAGCTTCATGACAACTTGCTAAAAACAGGTGAAAAAAATTAAAAGGTTACTTCTGTGATGTTCACCAGCCTTGAAACAGGAGCAGCGAGCAGCCACGGTTCTGAATACCAACAGCTCAGAGTGGATCATTCTGAGATGCAGCACAGTTAGAAGTGAGAGACACTGCTTTCACTTCAGCTCTCCTGATTGTTGCAGTATTACTAATATTGAGGTTTTCTCATCTGTTTTCAAAGGTGAATTTAAAATTTTTCCGTGTTCAAATGAAATCGTGATGGGAAAATAAGAGAATGTACAACTAAGGCACTCTTACAATGCTCTGCATCAAAGTCACGAGCCAATATGATGCCTTGCAGAATCACAGCATCGCTCAGGTTGGAGAAGTCTTCTCAGATCCCAATTCCAGCCCACCCCACCATGCCCATCCCCACAGCTCTGGGACACCTCAGAGACTGTGACCCACTGCTCCCTGTGCAGCTGTGCTGTGCACCACTGCTGTAGGAACGTCTTCCCAGCTGTTTGTTTTGTTAAAAGCAACAAGTGTACGTCTGGAGTTTGATGAGAGGCCTTTGAAGTTGGGCAAATCACAGGTCATCAAACACAAGCACCGGCTCCAGCCTCCCAACCTTGAACACGTATTTCAATTTGCACAAAACTCACCCGAAGGCATTTCCAAAAGGTTTTCCACCACAGGTGTACAAACATACATAGACACAAACGCACACGCAGTGCTGGTGCAGCTGTGCTGGGGCTCACCAACATCAGGTACGTGCTGTGAGCAGAGAGCTACAACTTCCA